CAACGTTACTGGAAATTGTATGAGTTAAAGTGGAAAAAGTGCATAGGATGGGAGTTGCACTTTTTAAAATAATATAATAATAATCTTCCTTCCACTCTTACCACATCGCATTTATTCTTTATTGTCTAACTAATATATCCCTGCCTGCATATAAACAGATAATAGGAAAGTATTTCTTTTCAGTGTTTATTTCGTTTTCCTTTAATGGCATTCTGACATCTAGAAATGACTGGATTATACTTCACCGGTTTTTAATAATCAACTTATTTTTAGTCAGTCAGCCATACTGTGAAGGTCTTTGGGCCTTTGGGGTGAGAGATAAAGTTTGAGATTCCTTGATAAAATATTTTGTGATGGTTTTCTTCCTGAAAATATTTTCCCCTTTTACCATTTGAATCTTTTGAACAATTTCAGTCAAGCTTGACAGGCACTTCTTTCCTTTGAGTTTAAAGGTTTTTTTTAAAAACATTGTCTAGATAGAGGAGAGGCCTAACTAAATAGCTCCAGTTGAGGGAAAGGATATACCGAGTTTTCAGTCATCTGCTTTGTATAGCGTACAGAAATCTAGTAAGCTGCTGTCTCTTGTTAAGTCAACAGTCGAGGTATTAAGAAGGAAGCTTTGGGATGGGATATGAAGATGTAAGTAGAAGTGGCCTTAAAGGACTGGGATGCAGGAGGTGTAAGACCATGGCCTGAAATTACTGCAGTAGGGTGAGGTGTATGGAAAACACAGGACCCAAATCAACAGGGTGCTGGACTTCAGTGCTTCTCATGGAACAACTTTTCTGATATTAAAGCTTGGCTGTATAGATGAAAGTTGATTCCATCCTCTGCCTGCCTTTTGGCTCCCCCCTAAATCCCTCCCCAACAAAATTAAAAATAATTAGGGGGAAAAAAAAAACCAACACAAAAAAACCTTCTGTAATTATGATACTTTTTCTTTTGTGCAGCTAAATTTTGAGTTGTAGCAAGATTGTTTGTTTTTTAAAACTACCTGATCTATTGACCTTAATAGCAAGATAATTACTGAGCAGTTTCTTTTAAATCCATTATTGTGTATAGGTACCCTGAGGATAATGAGTGTATACACACAGGCAACAGAATGAAAGCAAAATCTGCTTACAGAATTAGGGTATATTTAAGGATATTGAAATTTCTGCCAAACAAGGAGCACAGTGAAATTTCATCTGCCAGTTATGTTGCTCTTAACGTTCTTTAATTTAGCAGACAAGATAGTTTGGTTGTAATTAAGCTTTTCTAATATTGTTGTTCCCCAGGGTTGTGGCATAAGTCATTTTACTCCATAGTTTCCTGAATCTTCACTGCCTTTATTTTTCCTGTATAATTCTTCCATAAACTATCTCTGGGATGCAGGAAAACTTCATGCTATGAATTACTTCTTGTGTATGTAATATGATTTTGAATATATGCAATTGAATTTCTTTTCCCTGAGTCTTTTATTCAGGTTTTCTGGTTTTCTTGGTGCTGTTTCTTTCTTCTATGCCCATACCCTTCCTGCTGTGGTAACAAATGTTTTTGGCCCAAAATAACTCCCATGGCAATTTGTTACTCCTTGCTGCTTTTTCTGTAGGTAGACCTGGCAACCAGGCTGAATTGGTCAACAGTTGCTACTGAAGGACAAGAGGCAATGGGCACACTGAAGTAAAAGAAATTACATTTAAACATAAGACAAAGGGTTGGGGTTTGGTTTGGTTATGCAGCAGGGCAAGTTGTAGTAATTCTCTTCTGCCCATCTTTTTGCCATTTTCTCCCCAAACAATTTCAAAAGAAAACCCTAACCAACCCTTAATGTCTTGGACCATATTTCATGAGTCTTAAAAAAGACACCTTCTGACTTGAATTTCAGATATATTGAATTTACCCATTCAGCCTTTTCTATAATAGGTTGGGAAAAGATGTTTTCAAGACTTGTTACACAGAGGACTAGTTTAATTTAAGTAAAGATTTTACTTGGGGGGGGAAATATGTTTTTCCAAACCATCCTTTCAGGATTTAAAAGGACAATAAGGTAGCATAAAACACTGCAGCTCTTAACTGCAAGAGGTTGCAGGTTATCTTTTCTCCCACGAGGTTAGCCCTGTCATACATTTTGCATCTGACTTTCTGTTTGAATGAATGATCTAGTATAGATCTGAATTTCCCGCTTTTGGTAAAAGCAAATAAATAATGGAACATACATATTGGTATAACATTCAACTAGCATTGTCAATAAACCAAAACACATTTATTGGAAAATTTAACCCACTAAGAAAGCAACCTCGTGGCACAGAATGGAAGCAGTGGAGGAATTTGAAGCCCCAGTGCGCTGAGGTAGAACAGAAGAAATTGGAAGAGCATTCCAAACTCTGTTCTCTTTTTTTATTTTTTCTTTTTTTTTTTTGACTAATTGTTTTTTCAAAACATACTATGTGTGGACTTCCATTCTTCTTAACCTTTCTTTCAGTCTTACCATTTGACTTAAGAAATAGTACTCTCCGCAATAACAGTATTAACGTACTTCATGACCATAGAAGAGCATCTATAGAACTTGCCATATACTAGGTCAGTTGTGTTACTGATAAGTATTTCTATGCTTGTTTGTGCTGTGAGGTCTGATCTTAATATGTGTGATTATTGACCTTACACACAACATGTTCTACCTAAAAGTAAATTAGGGGGTGTGGAAAAAAAAAAATTTACAGTATCATCTTTTTTGTCTTATGTGCAGCTTTTTTTTTTATTATTATTTGAACAAAAAAATCCTCATGCTGCAACACAGTGCTTAGAAGTAAAGCACCAATATGTGAGATTATATTAATCCGAAATATTTAAATACCAAATAACAGAAAGGCAGTGTACGTTGTTTTATATAACAAAGAAAGTATTTTTTGGTGTTCTAAAAGTTACAAATCATGCATACCTCCACTATAACAATGTGCCTTTTATTTTTCATTGCTGGCAGGTTATAACTCCTCCAAATCTTCAAAGTATTTGAAACTCTGCATCATATTAGTTTGATTATGAAAGAAATTGATGCAGCGCAGTAAGGCCCCTTCATGTTTACTCACACTGTATATAAGCATGCCACGTAATCGCATGGTGGCTAAAATTGCATTTTGGCATTCCTTCTCTTTTAGGAACAGTACTTGATGTTTTATTTGGGGACACCTTTCCTTGTCATTTGTCCCTCTTGCCTTCTTTTTTTTTTCCTGTGGTACTATACTTGTGCAGGCTATCATGCATCTCATCTCATGTGTTAGTAACCAGTACCTTTCCCATTCCAGCTTTGTGTCAGCTCACCACCAGTCAGTGCAAGAAGAGGTAGTGGCATGTTTCTTGCTCTGCCCTCTGCTGATTTAGGAACCTTCCCTCATTCATCATACCTGTAACATAACTTGTCACCATCTTAAAACAAAGACCAGCTCACTCCTGATGTGGATTAAAAAAAAAAGAATTGTTTAAATAGTAATAGTGATTTTGATCACGATTGAGTGAAATAAGCTGCAAATACCATGTGGTAGATAGTTCTTTCAAAGATTAAATTACAGCAGAGAACATAATATAACTCAGCTGCACTTTGTGCCAGGTTCTGTTTTATAAATGGAGGTTATTTTTCTGTCTTTCTTTTTTCAGCTTCTGAAATTCAGAGACATATTTTCGCAGCCACCATTGTTTAGAAAGTTGGCTAAGATAACATTAAAAAAAAACAAATCACTGTAGCTGATAGTTTGGAGTAGTGTGTTTGTGCACATGTTAATGAGGAATAGTGAAAAGAAACTTCCTTCTTTTACATAAATTTTACATAGATCTCATGATTCTATTTTTTTTAATCTTTGTCTATTCCACAAAACATTTCAGACTTAAAGCAGCTGAATTAAAGATAGAACATTCTAAGGAACAGTGTTCCCTCAGGTATATATGAATCTAAAGTACTGCAAGCATTTGTTAGTATTAAATCTTCAAAGATTTCCTCTGCATGTCTGATTTCCTGGAAGAATTTTAATGAAATTTGGGGAAAAAGATACCTTTGCAATTAACTTTGCTTGCCTTAATTTTTTTAAAATGTGAATTGTGGTTAAGCCACAAATGTTTGTCTTACAAATAGGAGGCTCTTTTATTATGCCCAGGTTTTTAAATTTTAAGTAAGTGGCTTTTGTTTATGTGGGCCTTTATTTAGGTTCAAAAGTTATCATAAACCTTTCTCATTTACTGATATTTTGATCTCCCCCACCCCCATTTTTTTACTCGTTTAATTACATTTTAAATATTGTCAAATTTAAATTCTGTTTCTGGGAAATTTAGCTAGCTTTATTCACTATTTAATAAAAATGGAGCTGGAAAGTTTCTTCTGTGTTGTATTCATTATCTGATTTTTTGAAAGTCTGGATACCTGAATGTGTTACTTAAATTTACTGATAGCTGTTGTTTAAAAATGTTTACATTAAAAAATGTTTTGTTTAGCATGCCCTCCCTTTCTGAAAACATTACTAAGATTTATCTTTGGGATTATTAATGCTATCGATGTTCTCCTTTCTTGTCCTGTGGAGTGATTCAGATGGAGTTTCTATGTATGATGTCTGTTTCACTTTTCTTGAAAATACTAGGTTATTTTAACCAGCAGCATGTTTTACCTGTTTAACCCTTGAAAGGCTCCGAAGTATATTGAAAGCAATACTGTGTTTGTAGTACTTCTTGTTGTTGTTCCTTTGTTCGGTTGGGAAAGATACTCTAAGAAATCACATTTGGTTTGTAATCCTTAAAAAAAACAACCAACCAAACAAACAAAAAGCACCACAAAACAAAATCCTTAGAAAGACATTTTGAAGCCTAATTTCTTGTTAAGTAACCACATAAAACAAAACAGTCTCGACAGTATGAAGAAGTCTTTTCCTGTCTTGCTGAAAATACCGTTTGTGCTATTCACAGAATTGAGTTTGTTTCCTGTTTATGTATACAGAATGTAACAATGCTTCATAGCTTCCATGTTTCAATTTTTTTAGGAAGAACAGAACCGAGGCAAGCCCAACTGGGAACACCTGAATGAAGATTTACATGTACTTATCACTGTGGAGGATGCTCAGAACAGAGCAGAAATAAAACTGAAGAGGGCTGTTGAAGAAGTAAAGAAGTTACTGATACCCGCAGTAAGTATTTGTATGCAAGTCTTCGTTTTCCATTTCCAGAAATTACTTCTGAAATACAATTAATGCTTCAGTACTAAGAATAAGCCTGCAGAGCAGCATCCTAAAATAAAGCTAAATTTTTTTGTAATACTCTAGTGATCTTTAAGATGTCTCATCCTGGATTGAATTATTCCTCATTATTCCTCAGAACAGAATAATATTTTTAAGATTTTTTTTTTTTTATGTGTTAGATATAGATGCAGGAAATTCTTATCACCTTTAAAAGACAATGCTGAAGGGTTACAAACACTAGCTTTCTTACCTTCTTTCAGTATAAGAATGCTTCACTTTAAGGCTGGGGAAATATGGCATGCTTTTATGTTTTGCTTTGAGATGATTCTGATACTTTAAGAACAGAAGGCATGTTTTCTTAAATCATCACATTAAACACCTTCCAAACAGAACAAAACCCTTCAGGTACACAGTATCAAAAAACTTTGCTATCAATATACGGGGGCGGAAAAAAAAATATTGAAACTGGAAAATGGGTTGTATTTCTTATTTCCTGATAATATAAACTGCTTTCTGCCCAGTCAGATGACTTAAAGCCTTTTGCAGGGACTAGAATTACCCTGTGAGAGCCCTTGTCTTAGATCTGCTCAGTGTTCTCACTCAAAGCAAGGTGACTTAGCATGGCTGTATAGTGTATCCCAGGCCATTAGCTTGCATCTTGTGCTGATTTTTACCACCACTTTTATGCCATTATAAAATGATAGAAATAAATTATATCTTTTCCAGTGGTGGAAAAATTTTCCGTATTACAAGGAAAATTTGAGAAAAGCTTGTGAAAGTAAGTAGTAGGTGGTATTAAAATGACCTAGTGATTTTGGGTGCTTAGTGAATGCTAATAGATGCTGACTGTGAGGGAGCTTGTGGTGACACATGCTGTATAAGCACATTTATTCAGAACATATTTTTAAAAGTAACGAAAGATCAGGAGTGAGGTGTAAGTTTTGAATTAACAAAATATGGTAGAATATTAAGCAGGAAGTATGAATAAAATGTAATTTAGACCTCTTCACATTGCGCACTGTCAGTCTCTGAAAGCTGAAATCAACTAGAGAAAAGTAGATCTTCTGAATTTATTCATTTGCTAAAGAGATCTTGAGCACATTAGGATTGAGTTTATAGTCAGGATTAGAAATGGTAATAAGAAAAAGACTTTTTATATGGGCAAAACTTGAAACACTTATGCTTAGTCTCTAACTACTATGCAGCAAATAGTTTAAAAAACACACAGCTCAAAATTCTGTATGATACAGAATTAATTTTGTTGAATGTCTGTTGATTCTCCTACCTCCCTCTTGTTGCTGAATAATATGACTGGAGGGTCATGTTCAAGATGACCTGATAGGTCACAAACCCAGTACGTCTGAAGTACTAATGTGTATACTCTGTGTGTGTTCATGTTATGCTTGGTTTCTGGAGCTGGTGTGGGTGTGTTTTGAGCCTCCAATAAAACAAATACATTAGTAGTTTTTCATGGTGATCTTGTTAGCCAGCTTTTTGTCTTGAAAATATTCTGCCTCATTTAGTAACTTAATCAGTTGGGGGAGCTCTATAATCCTGATTACAGAAATATTTTTTCCCCTCTAGAAATAAACAACTATTGTCCAAATATATCATCAGTTGAATAACACTTTGTCAGTTCAATTCATTAACATCCTTATATATTATGTATAGGCATTAGAGACTTAGGCGGTGCTTGTTACATGCACAAGAGTTGTCTGATGATTTTCATTTCTGAAAATTGTGCCTCATTGAAACAGACATGTGTAGTACATACTGATGAATTAGTATATAGGTGAACTTGGTTTTTGCACTAAATGTTGCATCTGATCAAGTAGTATCAAAAATGGCTGTTTAAAGAAATTGTGGTTTCAGACAGTTTGAGAGTCAAATATTCTGTTTTAGGATTTAAAAATATGAATGGAAAACTTCTATGAAGCCAGCCATAAACCTCTGAATAATCAGGGTAAGAGTGAGCAAAAAAAGAAATCCTAGCTCATTATAATAAGAGGGGGGGGAAATGTGGATGTTGGAAGTTTCCAAAGAAGATATAAAATGTATGAATGTAAAATTGGAAATTCGCTTTCACGTGGTAGAATACCTGCAACTATTACTGTTTTCCAAATATATGTCAGAAGATTAAAATTGATAAAAAGTTATTAATGTATTTCTGTTTTATCTTCATCCAACTTGAATAAAATTTAAGATTATGTAGGAGAGAAGATTCAGTCTCATACTTGCCGTATATTGGCAATGCTTTGGTTTTCTGAGATACATTTCAAAAAAGCAAGCTGGTGTTAGAGATGGGAATGAGTTACTGATTTCTTGGAATAATCAGTCATTTTTATGCTCAAGATATTAAAAAGCCTAATTACTTTTCATGGCAACAGTGCACAAATAGGCAAATTTCTAAAATGGATTTCCATTTGAAGGTACTTGGGTGAACAAGGCCTATTTCAGTAGTAGCATGTGTTTCTTCTCATCTTTATGAATCTCAATCACTAGTGATTTTTTTCCTTGTGGTCATGAGTTATTAATTGCCCTTTCCACTTGCTCTTGGATTTTTACTGAGGTGGTAGTATAATCAAACAGTTTATCTTTAGAAATAAAAAGGAAAACTTGAGGCAGACTGGCTGAACAAACCATTCTTTCTCCCTAAGGAGAAAGGCCAAAACCTTTTTTAAAATAAATTTACATTTCTTTGGTGTGGGTTTTTTTTTGTTTTGTTTTTTTTTGTTTTGTTTTGTTTTGGTTTTTTTTTTTTTTTTAACTTTGTCTGTACTTCAAGTTCTATAGTTCTAATTCTTTTCCTCTTCCCATAGTTCAGTGAGATACTGGTCATTATGTGGACCTGCAAGATCATATGGTACTGCTGCTTTCATGTTTTTCTCTGAAGAAAAACAAGACAAATAAAGCAGTCTGCAGGCTTTTGGGATCACATTGAACTGTACCATCCTTATGCCTCCTTCTAAAGTGAATTCTACAGGTTATTGATCTCTCTTCATTGTAAGAGCTTTGAGAGTTTATTTGTTGTTTGCAAGACTTCAGTGAGGATGGGCGATTCTCTTGCAGAGGAAAAAAAAAGGTGCTCTGGAATGTGTACTGCAGAACATAAGAACAATGCAGAGCCTGTAGAAGGGGATGTATGTAATAATTAAGCTTAGCATACGAAGTCACAGTGTCTTTAAGGGTTTGGAATTATTCTTTGAGGTCCTGGGCAGTAGGTCTGAATTCCTCTACTAGAAATATGTAAGGTTTCTACATGTTCTAAGAAGTGTTGAATAAACTCATCTAGTTGAATGTGTTTTTCTAGGTACTCCTTTCATTATACAGATGTCTAGGTCTCTTTAGTTACTAATTTGTCTTTATACTAACTGTCTATATAGGATGAGGCACATACAACAGAATTCAAATTTCAGGCAAATGCTTTTTATCCCTTTTTCCTTTGACTCCACATTCTTTCTGAGGAAAAGAATGTATTTTTGGCTCCTACTTAAATATTCTGATTTGGTCTGGAATCAGTGTTTTTCAGACCCTTTGTATTGCTCTTCCTGCATCAGGGCAGCGGTAGTTTACTTGGTTGCTGCCTCCATCTTGTCTGAAGACAACTGCAATGTAGTATTAGTGATGCTCTCTGTCAAACTGTGTGTATCGTTTGCTACTACAATAATGGAATTTCGAGATTGTGATGGGTAGGAAATAATGTTTCAGTAGAAGATTGTTTAATTTTGTTATTAAGTTTGGTTCTTACTTACAATAGTGATTTTAGACTTTTCAGTCTTGAATATCTTGAAATTTAGCTGTATGGTATGGAGGAAAGTATCATTATTTAAACAAAATAAATAATTGAGATTAATTAAAATAAATACTGTAGCAATGTTGATTTCATAATGTCAAAATCCTTAGAGTAGATGAATGTCAATGGCAATGATTTTTTTTAAGTAATTCAAACACAAATAAAACCATGATATATGAGTGATAAGATAATTATTCCTTAATATGGAAAAACATTAATTATGACTTAAAGTACATAGGAGTCAACAAATAACCAATTTTATAATGATTATTTTTGTGTATTTTATAGCAGCTTTATGCATTGGACAACAATTACCATCAGTCTTCAGTAGTGTTCCCAAGCATTTCATCCTGTTGAGTAATAGGTATTTCAGTGTTGTAGTTGAGGAATTTAAAAATGGAGGAAGGAAAGGATGCAAAATAAAGATGTTACTAGAACACAGTTTTCATACCAAGATGATCTACAACATAAATTCATAGACAGTCCAAATTACCAGAACTTAATAAGCCATTTAGTAATAGAGGGAAGCATGGATAATTCTTGCTATTTGGAGGAGCTGAAGTTGGATATTAATTTTGCCAGTCTAAAGGTCAAATTCAAAAAAAAACAACAACAAAAAACCCAAAAACAAACAAACAACCCAAACAAAACCAAAAAAAAACTAACCAACTTTGCAGAGCTACGTAGACTCAAAAAACTGGCCTGAAGAGTGCTGGATTAACTGTTGTTACTATCCTCTAACCCTTTAACCATATCATGCTTGCTGCTACGATTTTAGTCTGTTTCCAGCAAGCTGTTTGGAAGGCTGAATAAACTTAAACTGTGAAATAAAGGAAGTAAAGCATACACTCTTGCCTCTAAACATTTTCATAAACAACAGGGAGAAAATAGCTATGCTTAATGTATAATAGAGTAGTAGAAATCAGACTGAGAACAGCTGTGGAAATACCTGGAAATTGCCCAAGAGGCTGAAGCAGTTGCTGAAAGTGATTGATTGAATCTTCTTGAGTTAAGGTTTTACTATTGGGTGAATTTACTTTGGCCTGAGGGGGCTGGTAAGGTTAAGTGCAAGGCACTACTAGAAAAGTAAAAGTAGGAGCAATGAACAGAGTGCTTAAAAGATGTATTAACCGGGGCCGTACAATAAGAAATACTG